AAAATATAGAATATAGGAAGAACTTCTAAAAAATCAGACCTCCCAAATTTAAAGACCCAATCTAAAAATGGGCATCTGAAATAAATATACACTTCTCAGATGAAGAAGTGCAAATAACGCATAAATATATGAAAAAAGTGTTCAAATCACTGGCCATTCAAGAAACGCAACTTAAAACAACACTGTGATTCCATCTCACTCCTGAAAGAATGGCTGTTATCAAGAAATCAACCAATAACAAATGCTGGTGAGGCTGTGGGGGAAAAGGAACCCTTCTCCACTGTTAGTGGGAGTATAAATTAGAACAACCACAATGGAAGTCAGTATGATCTCTCTCACAAAACTAAAATTAGAGGCTCCATTTGACCCAGCAGTTCTCCTTCTAAGTATCTTCCCCAAAGTGTTAAAAGCATAATGCCACAGTGATATGTGCATACCCGTGTTTATAGCAGCATAATTTATACCAGCTAAATCTTCAAAATGGCCTATATGCCCATCAACAGATGAATAATGGAAGGAAATGAATGATGGATAAGGAAAATGTGTATTTATATTCAATGGAGTGCTAATCTCCCACAAAGAAGGCTAAACTTGAGTCATTTTTAGAGAAATGGATACACATCAAGACCATATTTTAAGTGAAATAAATCAGACATAAGTTTAAACAACAACAACAAAAGGACTTCTTTCAGTAGGGCTCATCTGATTTTCTCAATTCCAACCTTGTTAATCTCTACATTCATTAACTGAAAGTCAACTGATAGGGACTCTAATTACACCTGGAAAATCCATTTTACCATACAGTAATAACATTATCATGGAGTGCTATCCTAACAGATTCGTTAATTCTTCCTATAGAGGAGAGGGTTTTGTAAATGGTATATATACTAGACAGTAAGAATATTGGGGCCATCTCCAATTCTACCTTTCATAATCTATCCTCTGTCTCCAGTGGTATGCTTCCTCCTCAGACACTAATTACATTCATCCTTTTCCAAGGTTCCCAAGAGTATCACTCTCTCAAGATGTCTGAAGTAAAATAATTGGGGTAGAGTTCTTATCCATTGATTCTATTTATTATATGTCACTTCACTTAATGATAGATTGCTACTTCGCATCTATGGCTTATTAAGGCATCTAAAGAACTTGCTGCTTTCTATATTTCAGACTAATAAATATAATTAGTGTGGTGGATTGGGGTGATGTTTTATGGAATTCAAGATGATCAAGATTTCTACTAATTTTGGCAGAGAGCGAGAGAGTCGATACAGCCATGAGGGAAGACTGAGAAAGTATAGTGCTGGTCCTGCCAGATAAAAGCAAAGAACTTCTTATAGTACTTGTAGATTATTAAAAAAATGTAAGATTAATAGTTGTGTACCAGGTACAGTGGCTCTGTCGATTTGTTTTACTGAAGGTACTACACTAGGAAGTACCTGCAGTTGGAGTCTGCCTGATTA